GGAACAGCGGGCTGCGGAGCGGGGACAGGTGCTGCGGCGGGCGGGGGGACTGTTGCCGGGTGTGCCGTAATTACCGTATTTGTACGGGCATTTCAACCCTTGTCCGAGCAATAGTAGTAAGCGTGCTCAAAGCGTGCATGTTTCGAGGAGACGGCAGACTGCAAACCCGGGTCACTCCCAGGGCGTCTCGAGCCTGTCAGCACCGTCTCAGCGCTGCTGGCTCCAGAGAAGTCCGTGCTCCAGCTGTGATGATGACCCAGTTCTCCCTCCCTCGCTGGGAGTTACTCTGAGCGATGGAAAGCAAAGAAGACGAAAACTTATTTGCATATTTGTCAGTGTACAATAGCTTTTCTACAAATAGGATAATTGTGAGCTTCTAGTGTAAGTTCGTATTTAAGACCTGATGATGCTGGGAAGAGGCCGGGCTGTGATGAGAAGGTGGCCCAGAAGAGGCTCAGGTCCTTGTGCCTCTGTCCCAGGCACCTGCCTCTGCTCCTCCCTCACCCGCTGGGCCCAGCCATTTCAAGAGCGTTGCTTGTTGACCATGCAAGCCTCCAGGACAGAAGGCTTCCTCACTGCTTGAGCCTCAACGGTCTCAGCTGCCCCAAAATTGAAAAAGAAAAAAAAAATCATTTCGGCTGAACCGAGTTCCCCTTCCTCACAGACACCCCGAGTGGTCCAACTGAAGCACGGGCCTATGGTCTGGGACAAACATTCAAAACGCCAGAGGCTGAATTGATGAAATCTTTGCAGGTTAGTCTAACCTGCCAAGGTTGAACCAGTTTGTAACAGGACAGACATCCCATCCCCTCTGGACTCAGGAACTGTGGGCACATGCCTGTAGTTGCCCGGGCTGGGCTGGGGGCACTAGAGCACGCCCTTGTCTACAGGGAAGCTGTACTGGGGGGAGGGGGCGTGGCCAGTTTGGGATGAACTGGCCAGAGAGGGGTTTAATTCTCCCCTCCCAGTCCCACTGGCAGGGACCCGAGCCAGGTCTGCTGAGCGCTCCCCACTTGCTGCAGTGGCAGGTCGCCGTAGTCCCTGAGGCAGAGGGGGCAGAAATGGGAGTTATTCCCTGCTCAACCCCTATTGCCCCTGAGGGACCACAGCTGGGTCTGCCCACTCTGACTGCCACTGCTGCCGCTCACTCCCTGCTTGGGGCAAGTGGCGGAATAAGCGCCCTCTGCCTGATGCCCAAGGGAGGTGGGCAGGAGGAGGCTTATTCCACCTGCTGCCCTGGGCACAGAGTGAGAGGCAGGAATTACCCCCTTCCCTGCCCTCTCTGACTCAGGGGCCATGGCGGCCTGCCTTTGCAGCAGTGAGGGGGCGCACCCAGAAGACTGGGCTTGGGTCCCTGCTGCTGGGACAGGATAGGGGAATTAAACCCCTCTATGGCCAGACCCCCACCCCTGCCTGTCCCTGCTCGGCTGGGGAGCAGAGGGGCAGGGCTAGCCCTGCTACACTGGAGCAGACAGCCCAGCCCAGAGAGCATGCCTGGATGCTGGGGACCTCTGGTTTAAGTTAAACCAGGAAGGGGGCTGAGACAAACATTCCATAAACTGGTTTGAACCAAATTCGTTAAGTCTGATACTACATTCAAGGGGTTTATCCTCAATGTAGTCTGATACTACATTGAGGTTTATCTCAAACCGGTTTCAGCCATTTTGAAACTGGTTTATGCATACTGAATATCTGTTCTGTTACAGGTTTAAACCAGTTTCTGATCACTTAAACCAGTTAATGTATAATGTCTGTCTCTGGAATGGCGTGGCATGCTGAAACCCAACCCTTTCATCTCCAGAGTCCTGCCACTGGTCCGATGGGTTCTGCAGCCCACCTCAGCTTGTGAAAAAACAAAAGAAAAAAAACCCGATGACCTGACAGATGGTTCATTGCAACCCCAAGAAGAGGCCACAGGCAGCCACAAACATCCTCTTTTTCCCTGCCAGCATCATCCTCAGCCCCAGAGACACAACACAAGCCTTCAGGACTGATAGCTTTTTCATTGCTTGGGCCTCAACGGTCCAAAGGGTTTCAGCATGCCACACCAAGTTTTGCAGCTTTCATCCCCAGAGCCCTGCCTGGTCCAAAGGGTTTCTGCAACCCATCTCACCTTGCCATGTTTCTGAGGGGAATGTCACACCCCCAGGAACACATTTTGCAGCTCAGCTTCTGGGTCCACACTCTGACTTGAGCTCTCAACGTGCCCATAGGAGCTCAGCACGCAACCCCCTGAACCAGACAACAAGGCCTGCCCCTGTCCTTTCCCAACCTCCCTACGTAGACCAGACACCACACAGACATACATACATATGGACATCACCACCCCACACTGAAAAAAAAATGTCCATGACCTGAGGGATGACCCATTGCAACCCCAAGAAAAGGCCACAGGCAGCCACAAACATGCCCCTTTTCCCTGCCAGCATCATGCTCTGTCCCAGAGATACCACGCAAGCCTCCAGGACTGCTGGCTTCCTCGCTGCTTGGGCCTCAATGGTCTCAGCTGCTCCAAAATTGAAACAGAAAAAAAAATATTTTGGCCACACCGAGTTCCCCTTCTTCACAGACACTCCGAGTAGTGCAATTGAAGCACAGGCCTGAAATCTGGGTTTTTGGGTGAAAAAAAAATAGTGTACACCACTAGGGATACATTTTGCAGCTCAGCTGCTGGGTCCACACCTAGACTCCAACTCACTACTTCTCCACCAGTAGCTTTGCACACAAAGCCCTGAGCCAGACAACAAGGCTTGTTGCTTTCTCTTCTGAACCTCCCTATCTAGATCGGGCACCGCCCCCCCTAAAAAAAACATGACAAGCAGCCAATGTGCACAGGCATTAGCTTGGAGGAGATGCGGGGGCAAACTTGAGGCGCCTCAGTGGCACCTCCTGGTGTTAAAGCAACAGAGGCCTGTTGGACGCTGCAGGATACACTGCTGCATCATTCTCTCTGTCTCTCTGCCCTTGTCACTCATTGCCTGGGCCTGGTGTTCTTTGCAGGTGTCTCAGAGCCTCAGAGCTGCCGCTGGTGTTTTAGAGCTGCCACTAGGGCTATCCCAAGCCTCTGGCTGTATGCACAGGGCACAATGCACTGATGTGTTAGGGTTCGGGAGGGAACTGACTGGACTGCAGGCTCAACGTTGCCAGGTTTTAAATATGAAATGCTCATATTGGAAGTTCAAAATTATTGTATTTGCTGGAAAACTATTGTATACTAAAAAAATATGCAAATGAGTATGCAAATATGTCTGCTTATTTACTTTGCATTGCTCTTTGTAAAACCCCAGTGAGTGAGTAAGAACTGGGTCATCGAAGTTGAAGCATTTCTTTATTTCAAAGCAAGAAGTCATAAGAAAGTGTCTGACAGCAAACCTGAAAGTCATTTCTTGGCCTCTTGTGGGTTAAGCTTGAGTATTTGACATCCCAGAGTAGAATCTGGGATTGAGAATTCTTGCCTGTAGTACCTGGGGATATCTGAAACCCAAGATCTCCAGGCTTGGGCCCACACCTAGGATGCTTGCCAGTGGATTTGGGACTACCTAAAGGCCTGCATCAGGAGCACCCTGTAGAAAGCCAGGAACTTCCTGATGTACAAGTACACGGACCTAGAGGTGGTCAACTGTGTTAAAATGGCTCTGAGCGAACTCCAGACCTACTACCAGAGATCAGTAGGAGAGGATGGAGAGGATGTGGCCAAAGCCACCTGGCATAGAGACACCTGGCACAGGATTTTCCAACCTCCCCCTAGCAGGGAAATGGACTGTGACAGCAAGGAAAAGGCAGAGACAAAAGGAACTGAGGACAGCAGCAGCAACCGCGACAGCAGCAGAGAGTCCTCCAGCAGGAGCTGGAGCAACAGTGACACGGACAACAAGTGAACTCAGTTCATGACCCTGCCAGCAGGATGGGGATGAAGGGAATGGGGTGTCTGGTCTGAGAGATCAGTGTTCTTGCAGTGCACAGGTGCGGCTATTATAACAAGTTTGGGTGGCCAGCGGGCCTTTGTACGGGTGCGTGGGTACATATATTGTAACGGGATTATGGTTTTTCTTTTGGGGTGTGACTAAGAGTGTAGATATATATTAATCTTATGTATATATAGAGATATATTTATAATGCTCCCCCCCCCCCCCCACCTCCCCAGGGCAGGAGGCTGGGCCCAAGGACACTCCCGGTTTGTAGCACCATACAAGGATTGAGTTCTGCCTGCTCAGTTGATACAGTTTTGGAACAATTGAGTTCTGCTCGATCAATATGATTTGGAACTGATTTGGCTGATTTGACATGGAACATGAAATATATTAATAATTAAAAAAAAACCCCTAAAAGTCAGTTAAGACTCTGAGAATTACTTGGGCTTTGCATCTGCTGCATCAATTAGCTGCCTCAAAAGTGATCCTTCGTTTTGAACACTTTGACTACTATTGCTACACCTGTCAACATTGCGCAGGCTGCACTACCAGCCCACCCCCCCCCGCAAGCGGAAATTGCCCGCCGGGCCGGATTGAGCTGCGGACCGGAAGTGTCCGGGCAGTGGCAGGGGTGGGACCCGGATGCTGTGTTCGCTGCTTCCGGCCACCTCAGTGGAAGACGGTGGCAGGGCGGGTGTGGGGCCGGGGCTGGGGGTAGGGTCAGCGATGATCGCGCGGGTGGCGGACGGGCTCCCGCTGGCCGCGTCCATGCAGGAAGATGAGCAGGTGGGAGCCGGGGCTGCCCCCTCTTCCCCTGCAGTCCCCCCGTGAGCGGGCCCAGCTCCGAGTGGCCGCGGGCGGGAGCTCCGAGTGGCTCCGCAGCGCTTCCCCCTGCCCGAGTCCCTTCTCCAGCGCGTCTCCCCTGCTGAAGGGCCGCCGCCGCCGCCGTGCGCGGGGAGACCGAGGGGGCTGGATCCTGGGGCTGGGGGGTGGAGGGGCTGTGTGCAGCGGGAGCCTCGTCGCCTCTGGGCGCTGAGCCTGGGCGTTGAGGAAGGATCTGGGAGTGCCCCGGCAGACTGTTGTGATGCAGCATGGGTCTGCGGGCACAGGCTGGCTCTGGGGCGTTTAGGGCAGGGGGCCGTTGTGGGGATGGTGGAGGAAGGGTTGGGAACAGACTGGCAGAGGTGGCTGGGGGAAAGCAGCATGGGACAGCTGAGAGAATGGGTGGGTTGCTGAGGCAGGGCTGGGGGACTTGGAGGAAGGAGGCACCTGGTGTCCTGCTGGGCCCCGGTGGCTGGCGGGCAGTTAAAAAAAAAGGGC